TGTTCCTCCTCTGCTCTGCAGCGGCGTCACCGCTTCTTACCTGGCAGCCCGGCTCCCGGGGTGCCTGCGGGAGGTCCGCCAGTCCCGCGGATTCGGCGGCAATTCGGCGGCGGGTACGCTGAAGCTGCGGGACTGGCTGACCTCCCGCAGGCATGCCGCTGAATCCGCGGGACCAGGGACCTCCCGCAGGCATGCCGCCAAAGGAAGCCTGCCTGCCGTGCTTGGGGCGGCAAAAAAGCTAGAGCCGTCCCTGCCCAGAGGGAGTGAATCTAACAAGTAATGATCAAGTGATCTCTCTCCTGCCATCCATCTCCATCCTCTGACAAACAGAGGCTAGGGACACCATTCCTTACCCATCCTGGCTAATAGCCATTAATTGACTTAACCTCCATGAATTTATCTAGTTCTCTTTTAAACCCTGTTATAGTCCTAGCCTTCACAACCTCCTCAGGCAAGGAGTTCCACGGGTTGACTGTGCGCTGTGTGAAGAAGACCTTCCTTTTATTTGTTTTAAACCTGCTGCTCATTAATTTAATTTGATGGCCCTTAGTTCTTATATTATGGGAACAAGTAAATAACTTTTCCTTATTCACTTTCTCCACACCACTCATGATTTTATGGAGGGGCAGAGCTGTGTAATGGAAACTTGCACATGGCCTACGTGTACATGCTTGAACTCAGCTAGTGCTCACTTTTGGGCAGGGGAGAAGGAGGAATGCAACTCCGATTATGGAGAGAATAAAGGAGATACATGTAAGTCATTACCAGCAAGAGAATCATCAAATAATAGTATTATATGTATTGGTCCTTCTCCCAGGGGCTGAAGTACTATATGTTAAGGATGATGCTGATTTTGGACACTCAGTGGCTCCGGATTGAGGAAAAAATGTGGATCTGGGGAAGTCCAGAAGAATTTCCAAACAGTATGGAAGATGGGCGTGTGTACTCAACATGCTGTGGCAAAAGGGACAGAACTCTGGGGTCTATTGTTTGAAATGCCCAAGGACTGCTGGTTCAGCACTCTTGCAGGCCTCCGCTTTCTGCTTGTAAGCCGCTTTGCTGCTAGCGCGGCCCATTGGAAAGCTCTGCCCTGTCCACTGCATTTGTAATTTGAGCTGCAAAGGACTGGTCCTCATGTCATTCTAGCCAACCTCACGCGTCAGCTGCACCCTCAAATGCTACATTAACCAACCCACTGCGGAGCGCTTGCGGGAGACACAGACAATGTTTTACTAACTGTTTAAACTTGTCGCCTGAGAACCTGGGCAACGAGACAGGAGCAGCAGCAGGTTGGCAAGTACCAGGGCACGGGGGCTGGCTGCAGAGAGACGCACGTCGCTGGTTTTCTTCTTCGGGCGACGCTCAGCGGACTGCAGCCCCTCCGCTCTGCTCTCTGCCTGCAGGGAAGGTGACCTTGAAGCCATGGCAGCAGGCGAGCAGGCAGTTCTGCTAATGGGAGGCGCTGCTGCATGAAGGGACTTGGAGGCCGGGGACAGAGGCGTGGGATGTTAAACCTGCAACGAAGGCAGATGGAGAGACGGTCTCCATCCGTTCGCTCTCTCCCGCCCGCGCCTGAGTCCCGCAGCACGCCGCTTTCCTCCCCGGCAGCCCCGCTCCCCGCTCCCCGGACCCCGCGCAGCCCAAGCCCGGGCGGTGTTTACGAGCGAGCGCCAAGCGGGGGAACCCGAGAGCTCCGACGACCGCCAACGCACCAGCCCGCCCGCAACCCACCAGCCTTCCGGGACTCCCCGAGCCCCGGCCTTTGGATGACTGAGCCTCGCTCGTCTCCGCCGCCCAGCCGGGCACTCCGCTCTGCGGAGCAAGGCCCAGGCGCCAAGCCCCCGGGTCGCTGAGCGCGGCGCAGGGCGCCTGGCTGGGGCGCGCACGATGCCCCCTGCCGTCCGCTTGGCACCTCCAAGCCACGTCTCAGCCCCAGCCGCGCTCAGCTCGGCTCTCCGTGCGGGAAGCGCCAGGGCCCTTTCCCGGCGGCTGTGCGCCCTGCTGGGGGCGGCTAGGGGGGCTGCAGGAGGCAGCGGCCCGGTTTCTTGCCGCGGCGGCCCAGAGGAGGGCTCGGAGTGCACGGAGCCGGGGCGAGCTCCGTGCTTGCCGGGTTCCCCCGGCCGCCTGTTCCTCCTCTGCTCTGCAGCGGCGTCACCGCTTCTTACCTGGCAGCCCGGCTCCCGGGGACTCCCTTCCACCCCCAGCCGCCTTCCCTGCGAACGTGTCCAGAGCGCACGGGGCACAGCAGCCAATGCAAACCTCTCGCTCCCCGCCGAAAGCCACCCACCAGCCGGGTCCCCTACTGTGCCCCACGCCGGCTCCAGCAGCCGGCCCTCATGCA